ATATATATATAATCGGTCCTAATGAGACGGACAAAGAGAACACAATGTTTCAAACTAATTGAATATATTGAATACGATGATGTATTGCAATTCAGAGATACCAGATTTCTGAAGCTACTTACACTCAGAATTAGCTAAAAACGAAACGGGAATATAGAAGAATTTTAACTATGTGGAACGCTTAGAAATGGGTACAAAATAGCGGATTGGGGACGAGCCACAAGAATCTACGCTACCTGAGCTACCAGCATTCTCCTCAATAGCAGACATAACAATCAACCGATTCGATCAATCAGTAGAGTAGAAAGTGAGCGCTTGAATCACAGTTACTGTTCGATACTAGGTGTAATACAGAATACCTACGCGACCAACGTCCATTACGGGATGCATTACAGTCAGGCATCATTTTCCAAAGCGCGCGATTAAATCAGTCGGTCGGCTAACTAATACATGAACAGTCGATACATCTTAATAACCGGTCAAATGAAAACGTATGCGCCATTTTAGAAAACATGTTTCCCAAGAAGAAAATTACTGATTAAGTTAGCTCAAAGTAAGGATAAATCGACAGAGATCGCTGCATTTTCGGTGTCTGCGCCAAACACCAACGTCTAGATCGTAACACCGATCAGGAGAAAATAAATAGCTACCGCAAGCAAATCCGAACACGCCTAAACCAGGCCAATGATCCACACATCTAGTGTGCAAACTAAGTGGAAAATATGTCCGTTTACGTGATGCATGTTAGGAAGTGTAGATCGGCCAGTCAACTTACCGGCAAAAAAGCGATTAAACAGACCGGCCGCTTCAACCACTCCTTTGTAGCCAGCAATGTTGGCCATCGAAGAAAGCACGTCGAACGCCTGTGCGCGACTTATGCGGGGGACACAGTCCAGGGCGAGTAGATTAATGTTTTTCGCACTCAGTGTCTCCAGTAAGGGCTTCATCAATAAAAAAAATCGGCAAGGATGTATACATGCACGGTCCACTGAACAGAACGTGAAGACCCGAGAAACGAAGGTGAGCGTCATGCAAACGCACGAATACAAACTGCCTGACCGAGCATTTTAACTCGTCAGTTCAAACATGGGATTCTTAAAATAACAAGCTACTGGGCTGTATAAGGCCGGGATGACATCCAAAAACGGCTTGATTAGAATACAGTTACCCACTCACCAGGGACAACACAAAGCGATCTTGCTCACCAGTTGGAAAGGATAACGATGAAGTGTGACTGAAGGTGGACGACACAGGAATAGGATTAGAAAGCCAAGTTCAAATAAGTGCTTCCTAGATAGAACGACGGAGAAACACAACTTAACGCAAGACACTCAGTTTATCAGCCGGAAACCATGTACCAGGGGTGCATTGGTTCCACAGCTACAGTCAAGGAAATACATGAGAGCAGGGAGGATGTTGCTGGGCTTTGGAGACGGTGGCGCGAACAGTTATTTGCTACAGAATTCATATAGTTTTCTGGCAAAAGGGGAAACTGGAGAGCTATTCACTGCAGGTCATACCTTTGAAGCACGAGCGCCACTGACTGCGTGATTGAGTCATGGTGACCAGTCTCGTCAATCACGGATGAGCAGAATCCCGTGGTCCCATCCAGAGAAGCGTCGATTGTCGATCCGACTGAGTTTACTGGTTAATGTTTTCATGCTTCGTTGCAAGGGTGTGAACTGCTCACCTCTCACCCAGTACTGGGTGTAAAGAACTTTGAAGAGTAAATGGTCATCTGATGTACGGATTGTCTGTCCTGAGAAGCGCGTGAGGTGAGGCGTGAGATGCTCATCCAAAGTGGGGAAGTAGCGTCATCTCAAGAAGATCTTGCGTACCTCGGAATTGTTAAGCCTATATTTATACCAGACCCGGACAATGCATCGCAGACAACGATGGTCGAATACTGACACCTTTCACACCTCCTCTGCGTGTAGAGGCCACGTTCCCCACCCATAAATTAGTATGATGGTACCGTCTCAACGTATACCCTGTCCATGACAGACAAACCGAAATCATTCCAATGCCATAGATGTCGAAAGTTGACACAGGGAAACCGAACTGCTAACCAAGGCCGCACAATGGCATGATCAGAGTCAAGTTGTGTAACTCAGAGGGAGCGACAATGTTTAATTGAAGCTCTCTACTCGAATGCATGATTGACTTGAGGTTGACGGCTTCCAAGTTGCGCGGCGTGAGGGCTCGTGTCGAAAGTTCGCAATAGCTGGAGACAGCACACAGCTGCACCTGTACAGTTATCATTAACTACGAAACTAGAATCCAACAGTGTTTCTTCTAGGTTCGGTCATCCAACCAACTTGGCTATTCATACCACCCGTCAAGATGGTTGTATCTGTCTTTTTCTTGAAGCCTTGACGAATCTCGGTAAAGCCTACCTTTCTAAGCTTCAGAACTGTTGTCTGTCGTGTTGTACGCTTACTCAACTGACAAACCTTGTTTATCTCAGCGAAATGAATTGATCTTCATTGAAACAGACAACTGTTTACCGAAATAAGGAGCTCGAGATAGTTCAACGGTTGATGCGCGAAATGACTGACCGGAAGGTCCGTAGTTCAAACCCGACCTTAGCACCCCGACTGCTCCTGTCTAGGTTTTAGGCCTCGTGCTTCCTTCGGGTGGCATGCCAGCTACGCACCGAAAGGCTGTTACAGCTAAGCTATTATTTCTAGCTATTCATCCAGTCCAATAGAGCACTTTCAGTCCTGCAGCGGATGGTAACTCTCATATCATATAAGCCACGATTCAGTGCGTCAGAATCACCAAGCACCCAAAGTGCGAGATGTGGAATGTCTGGGCTCATCCTAAGCGTTTGAAGTGAATGACCGAAGTGTGGTCTTGTATATGTGTTTCGGAGGCAGAACACACATCAAAAGAAAGGGAAAGCAAAGTTTAAGCGAGTTGTCGGAGAGTACGGACATTGAAAACTGCGACGTGGATCGAACCTTTTGAGTTCATTCACTGATTATTTAGGTTCATTTAGGCTGATAGCTTGGGCGCGGAACAATGACTAGCGGTAAACCAGCAGAAGGGTTGGAATGGGGTGCGGGTGAGGACCAGTGCGAGGAGCTGCAAAGGTGAATGATATTTCACGGTCCTCAGATCGACGAAAGGGGTCTGCTTGAGTCACCCCACATCGAACCTTGGACTAAAAAGTCTGACTCACAAGACACAGGAAGAAGGTATTTGACTCAAAAATCTGACCGACAAGGCAGTGGGCAGTAGGGTTTACTTAAGGTCAATGAACTAATATTCTAACCGGTTGGGCTGCGAGGGACTAGCCTAATCCAAGGCATACATGTTTCACTCCTGGTACTACTGTGCGCAGGAGATACACTTGAAGCCACATTTGGGTTCTTGGTAGATTTTAGTTGTATTTCGATGGTACTGAATAAGTCGCCTGTGATTACGGTTAACCACTAGGTGACTGCAGTGTGCGGTTTTTGTAGCTGCTTTTTTGTAACCCATCAGGCCTCGATGTTTCGATAAACATGGATATTTTGGTTGCTTAAAGGAAACATTTTTGTACCTTCATACAATACGACTTTGCCTCCTAATCAAAGTACGGGGACTAGCTGCTCTTCATTTGACTGTTCCCTATAGCCTTCCCGGCATGGTTAGACTTTGTGGAGAGAAGGTTCAGGTAGTGTGGCCAGCGAGAATACCGGAGCATGCAACCCCCCTCAAACAAGCAACTTTTCTGAACGTGATGATTAACTAGCCCCAGGTGAGATCAAAGTTTGTTGGGAACCGTGGATAAGCAAGCAGAGTGCAAACCGGGGGGACAAACTCACATGAATTCGACTACCTAATTTTCCACAGGAATCGTTTGAATTCCGCCGCTTAATGGATCGAGAAAGCCCACAGAGAAGTGACTTAGTAAGGATGTATGAGAGCCGCAAACATAAAATTAGGTCATCACGGAGTTCGAAGACGGATAGCCCAAAAATGTATGATGTCGTAATTCGCACCAGATTCACGTAGGAGTATGGTCAGTACTAATAGGTTGTGTCAAAAGAGAGCCCTTGTCCGTTCCGTCGCAGTCTTGCGAATTCAACCATCCAAAAAACTCGTCGCATAGACAGGGAGTCCCTCACTAAGAAGCTCAAAACACTGGGTGTTTTTTAAACAAAGACAGAAGTAATCGCTGGATTTTAACACATCTACTCTCCTCAGTCGCGGTTCGTAAAACCCACTTTTGGAATCACCTGCACTAGTACTCTAGGGACGTGGCCTGACGTATGTTCAGCCACGCGGTCCAACAGATACCAGTAGAATGTGTGGAAGCAGGCGCCCCAACAGTTTCAAGGAAACTGGTAAGTTACATGAGCGACAGACGGGTTTACAGGACTAGGATCGTATAACGATCTCTTAATAATTATAACTAAGCACAGTTGGGCATCACTGTAATTTCGTTTCTAGGCCTAATCGATTTTGTGCCAGATAATATTGGCTAATTCGTTGCCCCGTTCGTCAGACAAATGCAGCCCATATAATAATTTACCAGTAATCTTGTGGTTGTGCAGACGCCTTCATCGGTAAAATCTGTCGATAATTGCAGGAGTGCGTGGCTGAATATACACCACAGTGCGTCCTTAAAGCAGTGTAAGGCAAAGTTACTCTCTCTCTCTCTTACCTTTCCTCTTCATATTTTTTGTTGATGTGAAGGCCTGAAATTTCCTTGCCTACCTCTGAAACCTCGGGAGTCGAAATGCACCCGAGACGATCACTCAAGATACTGCTATCGTTGGTTCAGATCCTTAAAAGATCCAAACCATTTTAATTAGCCTAAATCATTCTGCCGCAGGTTTGGCACGCACTTCACATCTGCAACGTGTGAAGTGCTGCTCCAAGACTAGGTTGCATCAAACCCAAACCTCATGCTTGTGGATGAGCCAATCAATGTGATAGATAAATGTTTACCTGGGCAGCTGTATAAGTTCCGTGCAGTGGCTGGAGTTGAGTTTACTTCTCAAATCGAGGGAGCCAGGGAAGATTTCGCCAACCTCCGTCTGTAAAGGGCTGAGTTTATACTGCGGTGGTGCTATCCATATTGCTTTATGGGTTAGAAACGTGGTATCTACGTGCTGAGCACATACAAAAGATGTGTGTTTGACCATCGGTGTCTTCGAAGCATTGGTCACGTCTGGTGAGAACGTCGGATTTGTAATGATGAAGTACGTCAGATGGTCTTAGAAGGAGCTCTCCCACGATAGGTCAATTTTTCACGCTGGTTAGAACATGTACTCAGCATGCCAGAAGACCGTCTGTCTCACAGAGCTTCTTCACCCAGATCTGTGCTGAGTGGAAGCGATCCAGAGGTGGACAGTGTGCAACCTGACAGAGAACTATGAAAACGCTAACCAGCAGACTTGGTCGGAAGGACAACTGCCGCCTCCCTGGATGGGGACCCCGAGACTCTACCCACCGATGGTTAGTGACACTGGCGTAAGTGACCCAATCGCGGAGTCGGTGGCGATCATGCGTCAAAGCTAACGCCTTCAATGTGCAGCTACCCGATTTCCAAACCAACAGAACATGCTATCACTTCCAAAGCTTGGCCATATCTCCCGCATTCTCCCAAATCCCGGTGATCGAAACTGTAGCAGCTGAAATGCGCCTCAGGTATCACTTCCAAAGCTTGGCCATATCTCCCGCATTCTCCCAAATCCCGGTGATCGAAACTGTAGCAGCTGAAACCAATGCGCCTCAGGTACACGGTGTATGGTTGACAAATTGATTGACTGATTGAGTTGATTCCAAAAGTCTAAGGTCTAATCGTGACTCAGCATATGGGAATGGATTCAAAAGGATCCCAAAAAACATGTTACTTGGTATGATATGTAATCGGAACACAGAGCCACTGTCAATCTGTGGGACGTCACTCATCAGTATCGACAGACCGCCACTAAGGATAAAGGAA